TGAGGAGCTGCAACCGCCCTCTGCGATCCCCTACAGAGGACACACTGTCCCTATGTGAGTGATGTTGACGTTTTTGGAGCCAGCTGCTGTCGAGCCTTCATGTCTCCCTGCTTGACAGCTCCAGTGGAGGAACAAAAGGCCTGCCGTACCAAAGATGATTTGTAAACAATAAAGCAAAGAAGAAGGAGTGTTTTCCATCCCACTATGTCCAACAGCATGAAAAACAATGCCATGTTACCTATGGTTAAGACAAATATAGGCTTCCTTTAAAGCGTCAGCTGCTTCCTTATGCAGAAGGGTGAAAAGAATAGTCAGGGCCGAATTTGGCTTCTTGTTGACTCTTGCAATTTCGTTGGCTCCTTAGAAGAATTAGGAGAACTAGGCCTTTTTCTTCAGGATGCTGTCTTCTCAAAGCAAACAGTAAAACACAGCATCTTGTTCCAAATCCAGTAACGCATATTTGAGAACCCGTTTTATTTTAATTTATATTCCCTATGTTTTTAGTGTTTTTGACATCATCAGTATTAAATCAGAGGCTGAACACTGTAATTTTTACTGTTTTTCCAGTAAGAACTTGGTTGCTGATTAACTGTCTTTGGCAGTGAGTGGGTAAAAATTAACACATTAACAACTTAACAATGAAATCAAAGTGAATTAGAATACCATTATCTAAAATAAATTATGTTTTATTAGTACTGTGTAATGTTCTTTTAACTGATGACAATGATTTATTTTTACTTAGATGAATGATGAAACTAATCAGTGAATTGCTGGATAGATGCTCTGTTAAATTACTCCTGTATTCAATTGGGAGCCATTAATCTATTGCTTTGTGTGCTTATTTGTCACTGAATTCATAGGGGGATGTGCAGCTTCTTACCTCATTTACATAAATAGGAACTAGAGCATCTTCACTGGTTATCAGTGGAGTTTCACTATTTTGGTGTTGTCTCTGTCTTACGTTTCGTTTGAAGAGATACCTTTCAGAAAGCACCTTATGCAAACTTTTCATTTTCTTTTTGTTTTTAAAACTTTTTAAGGATTTGACCCTGCTTATGGCAGTATACAAGGGTTTGTTTATTTTTCTTTTTTATTCTTTCAGTTAATAATATTATCTAATTCTATTGTAATGATTGCTTGAAGATGGATGTGCACTGGTCACTTATTTTTATATTCTTTCTGTTACACTGGATAAACTGGTTTTGTTGTGCTGATTTTTCTAGTCCACCCACAGGAATCTGTTCATTAAAATTTAATCAACGAGGAAAATAACAAATCTGTTGACAGTAAAAACAACGCAGATTCAGGAAGCTAATATAAATGGAAATGCTTTTATTGCAACTTTACAATCCAAAGCAAGCATTTGTCAGGCCAGATTATAATTCGAAGGAGAATAGCAACTGAGCTTTTTTGAGTATTTAGCATAAATGACAGCTGGGTCCCCAGCACATGGTGATTTTCCTAGCAAAGAGTTACACTGTGGGAGGTAAAGAGGAAGAGCGTTAGAAAATTTTTTATTAGTTCTTTGAAACATATTTTTCTAGTAATAGAAACTCAGAAGAAATTTTGTTTTTACTGTGTAGAATTCTTTCCAAATAGCACCGTCACCTTAAAAAAATGTAACATTCTTGATTGAAAATTGCCTCCTACTGACATTTTATGCCTAAGACTACTTTACAAAAAAGGTAAAAATGGTTTAATTCTCTACTAAGTTACAGCATTGATCTACCTCTTCAATATAACATTCAAAACATCTGAAGACAGATTACCTGTGCCGTGAAGATGGCATAAGATTAGTTGAGAAAGAAAGAGAGTAGTGAAAGAAAACAAATCATTGCTAGAGTCCATCTTCAGTGCTTTTTGCTCTTAAATGAAACAAAACAACCAAACAAATGACTAGGTTTTGATAATTATTTAATTTCAACCTTAAATCCACAGTCTGTACCCTGTGAGGCAGTGGTAGGAACAAGTGGATGCGGGGAAACCTCTTGAAAGCCAAATAGTGGTGTGGAAAGGTATTAACAGGTCTAGTAATTCAACAGCATGTTAGGGTGAAGCTTCCATATGGTTAATTACCTTGCAATTTTGCTTAAGATGTTTGCATTTTATATTTTGGTCAACTCAAAGGAAGGAATGAGCTGAATGCTTGTGTAAAGTCACAGAATGAAGCCCGCAGCACTTTAGCTTTGAAGATCCTTTATCTGTGCTATCTGTCCTGTGAGTATCCTTTGGAGGTCCTGCAGTGGATTAACTCTGCAGCTGCTAACTGCATCACAGGGTTATGATTCCTAACAGTTTCAAAGCCCAGGAGTCTACTGCTTTTTCATTGCCTTTTGCAGAGACAGAGGAGCCACGTGTTTCATAGCAGCTCATAGGCAGCACTTGAATTGTATGATTTGTATACGACTGGACAGTTTGTACAAATGGACTGAGAACAGAGTTCCTGAAATGTCCCTGCAGTTTGAGCAATATGCAGGTTTGTAACCTGAATGACTGAAGAACAGTCATGTGCAATGTTAAAAAAAAAATACATGTTTCTCCCAGAGCATGCTAAGGAATTTCTCTTCATTAGGGTAAAAGCAGCTGAAATGCCTCCAAGCATCAGGGACACTTAATGTCTGCCTTGAGTTTATAAGTATAGTCTTCTGGGAGCTGAACCTATTGAATGTTTTAAGCTAAACAATGGCATGCAAACTGTCTATGTCATGTCCAGAATTTTCATTACTTTGTTGGGGGAGGCAAAAGCTTCTGTGGGAGTGGTGGCTTTTCACAGAGAACTGCATTCAGCTTGGTTTTCTTCTTGTGTATGAGTGGATTTCTTCACAGGTTAGGCCACAGTGGTGGTTTTATTTGCCACTTCTTCCTCCCTTTAACTCCCTCAAATCATCCTTTCAGTTCTGATCTTGTTTGTCTGTCTCTTGGGCTCTCTGAAGGGCAGGAGTTTCAAAGATTCATGCGCTCGTGGAAATGAAAGTATATATGCAAATGATAAGTAGTATAATCATCTTTGAACATAACAGGATATAAGCCTCCTTTGAAGGACAGCAATTCATCTCTAGCAATATCAAGGGCTGTTTGCAACTGAGAATTTTGAAGCATTTAGTAACTCCTTAATGTTTGTTTTGGGGATCTAGAGAAATTCAACATGTACTGAAGTCATAGAAATTACGTGACAGGGTTACCACGGCTCTTAAGTTAATGGCTGCTGCCTTTGTGATTTATTTGTCGCAGCCTTGTCTTTGCATAACTGGCTGTCTTGGAAGAGCTCTGACATATCTTGAATAAGAATGGTGATGTTATTTATGAAAACTTACCACTTCTAAATTTCCTCCATCCCTACCCCACTCCCTGTACTGAACCTGTGAGCTTTCATTTGGTCAGTGTCACCTCAACAATGAAAAGTCCTTTGAATTTCAAGATATGCTGCTAGTTCAATAACTGGGTAAATTAAAAAATGTTCTTGGGAAGGTGAATGCAGAATCAGAATGCAGTTGCATACTTAGTATTGCTCTGCTGTGCTGTCCCTGGGTTCCCAGCAGTGGCTGGGCCTCAGTAAACTGGAATTGATTTTTCTACTCTAGCATATATTAGGATACGCAAAATGCTTTAATTTATTTTATTAGATAGCAGATTATGTTTTTATACTAGCTGAATGGAATCTAATTTGCTGAGAATAGATGGTGAAACAAATACATCTAAGGGAGAAGATAAAGTAGAAATGAATACCAACAAATGCAGAGTTTGTGCTGTAGCGCTGGATCTGTTTTCTATGCTATGTACACTGCTGTAATGCCTAGTGAATACATTATGCAATGTTAGATGTTGCTCTGTACATTTAAGTGACAGTAAGTGTTGCCACTGTTGGAACTTGTTGTCCAGGTGAAAATAATTGTTTTGCCATGCTGTATCCTGTCACAGTGGCGTTTGCATTCTCAGAGGCCCAGACAGTAGCTTCCGTCTCTGCTGCAAAGTCGGGTTTTGACAGGTTTGATAAATGAAAAATTCCTGCACAATTTTTTTTTTTTGCATGAGGAGAATATTAACTCCTGTGTTGTAGATGGAGTCCATTCTTATAACTTTATCATACTACTTGAAATTCCTATGCTGTTCACCCCTTGACCCTGTTTTACATATGTGTATATATACACACACACACACACACACACACACACATATCTATACACACATATCTGTGCTGGGCTACACTGATGTACTGTGAGCTATTTAAATGACTGTCTCAACACCACTAAAGGTGAATGACTCAAGGCTGACAGGAAGATGTTTCACATGTAGCTTTGAGATCCTCTGGAGTGAAGAAGACTGTGCAAATCGTATTTAATACTGAATTTGATACATAAGATAGCATGACAATTTGACCTTGCAATTTAATGCCCTGCTCAGCTGTGACAAGGGCTCCTTAGTTAAAATGGTTTTCTAATTTTCGTTTGTGCTGTATTTGGAGAGCTGAGCGCTTACGAAGCTGCTGGGATGCTCTAAATATCTTTATGCTTTATGGTGACCCAGCCCAGTGAAAGAACAAGGGAGGGATCCAGGGTAACTCCTGAGTCCCTTTTGTACTCACATTGTTCCTTCTTCCTTCCTTTCTTGTCCAGAGCTGTCTTTTATGTAAAAGGTCACTTTCATGGGTTTTTTTCTTGGTAATTTTTTTTTCCTCTCTCTGCAGCTTGGCTAGAAGACACATTTGGAGTGCCTATCTTGGTCATTATGTTTATCACAACTTTGTAACTATGCAGTTTGTTTATGCAGAACTGTTATTCTCTTCTGTGTTGCATCTTTTTTGAATTTTGGTTGGGGAAACAGGGATAAGAACTGTCCTTTGTCTACTTACCAGCTAATTTCTGGACTTTTTTCCTAGCTCCTCATTCTCTGTTTTCTTTCCTCACTTTGAGCCTTGCCAGCTCCCTGGTTCTCCAGGAGCAGCTGCTACAAAGATGTATGTGTTCTCCTCTGTAAAAACAGTCCTTGTTTTGTGTTGCTAGGCTACACCCTTCCAGCTGCCACTGAAGAAATGCTCTGTGGTGGGAAACGGTGGGATTCTCAAAAAGAGCGGCTGCGGAAAACAAATAGATCAAGCGGATTTTGTCATGCGGTAAGATGGAAACCTCAATGACAAATTGTCTGCCCTTCCCCCTGCTCAGTCTTTTGACTTTTCAAAGCTATTCAGTTGTGATTAATCAATTATAATTTGCCTTGGGTACTTTTTTTTTTTTTTTAATCCCCTTTGCAGGATGTGATTTGGGTAGAAGTGTGAGAAAGGGCAATAAAGTTTTGGCTGGCCTCTGCAGATATGTGTGTACTGTGGGGGAAATCTGCAGATGGGTGCATTGTGGTTGTGACAGATCATACAGTGTCACAGACAGGGATTTAGGAGCTTTTTAATTATTCCTTATTGGAGTCTCATCTTGTGCTGTGCTTCGTCCTTCACGACTCTAAATGCAATCATATGCAACCCATTAAAATCGTGATGAGTAGATACTGATTCATAGGGCAAGGATTAATAAGTTGGGACAAGCTAAAGTATTTCCACATTTTTCCTCCCTTCAGATTAACTTCTGTCTAAGAGAAGACAAAACCGTTTTCCTTGATGCCATCTTGTTTTGAATTCCCCACATTTGCTGTACCTCTAGTTTTTGAAGTCATAGGAATTTGTCAGAAGGGTGCTGAATCGGCTACTGCTTTCTTGACTGAATTTGGCACTTTGTAGATCCGCATTCTTTAAGGAGGAGAGACAGAAATTGGCCCCTTTTTGTTAAACATGAACAAGAAAAACATTGTGGGGCAGAAACTGGAAGGCTGCTTCTGAAGAGATGAGAAATGGAATTTCTTTGGTTTTTGAGGTAAATGCATAATGAGCTCCCGCTTTAGCAAGTCTACTTATTGAATCCTGATAGCTTATTATAAGGCCATACAAACTTGCTCTAAAGCAGACAGAATTACTATAATTTTTGGCTTGCATCTCAAGGAACAAAACTGCTTTTGATGTTAAAGTAAAGAAATACAACAAACTGAAGACAAAGGCACAGAAGGAGGGACTCAGTGTGCTGATTGCCACTACTGCGAAGCTCCTTCAATGTTCCAGAGACTAAAATAAGAAACTGCAGGGTATGATATGGTAATATTATGTAGATGCAATAGGAAGTTAAAATACCATAGGAGCAATCAGTTACAGAAACAATAAAAGCATTTTTTAAAGCAGCTGTTAGATCCTGATCAGAGAAAATGACCTTTTTTCTCTCTCTAGGGAGGGTAAACTAGCCATTGTCTGTACTGAACTTATTTTGGATTGGAAAGAAGCAGTAGGTAAAAACCTGCAAAAATCCCAGAAACTGCCTGCAGGCTGTATTGTATTAATGGTGCAGTCATATTTATGAAAATATTTCAGTTCTGTTGGGTAAAAGGTAATATGTCACTGGGAGAGAATATTTTTGTAGCAGGTGGAAAATTTAGCAGATCTTCTCTAAATCTGATCTCTATAATCTGAGAGCTGAGAGAGGAAGAGAATAACAATAACTTGCATAATATTTTGCATTTTCTAATAGGAAATGTGTCTGATGGCTTTATACTATTTCTGCATAGCAAAATAGTAGTGGCAGGTTTTGCCATTGTTCATTCCTTCGATTCACTTTGCTTTTGATTTCACTTACAGCACAGCTTATGGAAATACGATTGCAGCCATCTTCTTCAATAAACACTAATCACTAAGGTTAATTAATGAGTTTAGACTCATCTCATTTCTGAGCATCTTCTACAAACACAGTTGTACCGACATAGAGATTAAAAGAGCAGCAGTTTTCAGCCCCTAGGCCACAGCACACTTCATCTGCAATAAAAAAGGTGCATGGCATACGGTCTACATGTTTAGTCAGAGTAGTTACCATAGGTTTTTATTGAGTTATGTGGGTGTTTTTCAAGTTTGTAATGTTTATTTTTAGGATGTTTCTTTTAAAATTTTCCCTTTCCCTTCACACAAGCAAGTATTTTAAGAAAGAAGTGTTGGGTACTAAATCATAAACAACTATTTCTCTGTATTTGACAGAAGATACGTATTTTCACTGCATTAGATTGTGAAGAAATATTTATATGTCTTGTGATTCTCCCTGTCTCCCAACTACCTTTTATGTCTCTGCTATGGTTTGTGCATCTGCCAGGGAGAGGACTGGGGGATGTTTTCCATGCTGTTTGCTAGTGAGTTTGTTCCAAATATGGAAGAAACTCGTCATCATGTCCAAGCTGACTAGTGGCTATCATGACTTGGGAAGGACAAGCTGCTATTTTTTAATTATACTCTGCCATGCCATCTAGTCATACCAGCACAGATGGAGCTGTAGATGTTAAATATGATGCTGCTTTTGGGGCTAGCAAACAAGTCCAAAAAAATATTGCTTTCATTTGCTATAGCTAATTATAGTCTTGACTCTGGTCAAGGTGCTACAAAGGAGTAGAAATGAATATTCAAAATCCCATTTAAATTCTTATTATTCCTTAGCATTTGGTGTATGTACAAATAGCTAGGTAATCACATAACATCTGTCAAATGCACACGCCATTACTCAGCCAAGCTGCCTGGATTCTCTGCACCTAAAGGAGTTGTACTTATCTCTGGGCGAAACTCAGAAGAGGTGTTTATGCCCTGTGAAGTTTGAAGGATCCCTCTCATTTCAGTCAGCTGTTTCTACCTATTGAACTGGAAGGCCTTGCATGTGAAAAAGGTGTGCATGAACTGCTGTGCTTTCTTGATGATTTTTTCCCCCCATCAAATCTATGCCTTAGCAGGGAAATACAAAAGTAAGTTGGCCAATAAGTTCACAGAATTGTAGGGGTTGGAAGGGACCTCCAGAGATCATCGAGTCCAACCCCCCTGCCAAAGCAGGTTCCCTACAGTAGGTCGCACAGGTAGGCATCCAGGCAGGTCTTGAACATCTCCAGAGAAGGAGACTCCGCCACCTCCCTGGGCAGCCTGTTCCAGTGCTCCGTCACCCTCACTGTAAAGAAGTTCTTGCGCATGTTTGTGCGGAACTTCCTATGCTGCAGTTTCCAGCCGTTTCCCCTTGTCCTGTCTCCACTCACCACTGAAAAGAGTCCGGCCTCGCCATTCTGCCCCCCACACCTTAGATATTTATAGACCTGGATCAGGACTCTTTTCTCAAGGCTGAACAGACCCAGTTCACTCAGCCTTTCTTCATAGGGGAGATGCTCCAGGCCCTTCACCATCTTCGTGGCCCTCCGCTGGACTCTTTCCAAGAGATCCCTGTCTTTTTTGTACTGGGGAGCCCAGAACTGGACGCAGTACTCCAGATGAGGTCTTACCAGGGCAGAGTAGAGGGGGAGGATCACCTCCTTTGACCTGCTGGCCACGCTCTTTTTAATGCACCCCAGTAAGCCATTGGCCTTTTTGGCCACAAGGGCACACTGCTGGCTCATGGCCAACCTGTCGTCCACCAGGATACCCAGGTCCCTCTCTGCAGAGCTCCCCTCCAGCAGGTCATCCCCCAACCTGTACTGGTGCATGGAATTATTCCTCCCCAGATGCAAGACTCTACACTTGCTTTTGTTAAACCTCATCCGGTTTTTTTCTGCCCAGCTCTCCAGCCTATCCAGGTCTTGCTGAATGGCAACACAGCCTTCAGGCGTGTCAGCCAATCCTCCCAACTTCGTATCATCGGCAAACTTGCTGAGGGTGGCCATTATCCCCTCATCAAGGTCATTGATGAAGATGTTGAACAAGACCGGACCCAGCACAGACCCCTGAGGAACACCGCTGGTTACAGGCCTCCAACCGGACTCTGCACCACCAACAACGACCCTCTGTGCTCTGCCAGTCAGCCAGTTCTCAACCCACCTCACTGTCCACTCATCTATCCCACACTTCCTCAGCTTTGTTATAAGGACGTCATGGGGGACAGTATCAAATGCCTTGCTGAAATCAAGGTAGACTACATCCACTGCTCTCCCCCTATCCACCCAGCCAGAGACAACATCATAGAAGGCTACCAGGTTGGTGAAGCACGACCTCCCCCTTGTGAACCCGTGCTGACTATTCCTGATAACCTCCTCTTCTTCCAGTTGTCTGGAGATGACATCCAGTACAAGCTGTTCCATCACCTTTCCAGGGACAGAGGTGAGGCTGACTGGCCTATAATTGCCTGGGTCTTCCTTCTTGCCTTTTTTGAAGACCGGGGTGACGTTGGCTATCTTCCAGTCTTCAGGCACCTTCCCCGTCTTCCAAGACTTCTCAAAGATGACAGAAAGCGGTTCAGCAATCACCTCTGCCAGCTCCTTCAGCACCCGTGGATGAATCCCATCGGGTCCCATGGATTTCTGAACATTGATGTTGCCTAGGCGCTCCCGGACCACCTCTTCCCTGACAGAAGGGGGGTCTTCCATTCCCCAGATCCTCTCACTAATCTCCAGGGTCTCAGATTCCCGAGGGGGAGCTTTTTCACTGAAGACAGAAGCAAAGAAGGCATTCAGTATCTCCGCCTTCTCAGCATCCCCCGTTACCAGAACACCCCCGTCACTTAGCAGGGGAGCCACATTCTCCCTAGTCTTCCTTTTACTGTTAGTGTACTTGAAAAAACCTTTTTTATTATCCTTTATCCCCTTTGCCAGATTTAATTCCAGGCGGGCTTTAGCCTTCCTTGTCGCATCCCTGCAGACCCTGACAACATTCCTGTATTCTTCCCAAGTAGTCAGACCCTTTTTCCACATTTCATGGGCCTTCTTCTTTCCTTTGAGTTTGCGCACGAGCTCCTTGCTCATCCACACAGGTCTCCTGCCACCCTTTCCCGATTTCTTCCTCACAGGGACGCACCGATCTTGAGCTTGGAAGAAGAGCTGCTTAAATGCTGACCAGCTCTCACAGGCCCCCTTGCCTTCCAACACCCTAGCCCATGAGACAGCTCCAAGTAGGCCCCGAAAGAGATCGAAGTTGGCTCTCCTAAAGTCCAGGATAGCAATCCTACTTTTTGCTTTACTTCTTCCACTCAGGATCTTGAACTCCACCATCTCGTGGTCACTACAACCCAAGCTGCCCCCGAAAGTTCTCCCCGAAGTTCTCCTCTTTCATTTATAATTATGTTCTCCTCTTTCATTTATGTTCATATAAAAAAATGATGACTTCAGACACTGTCCTGCTTCTACCTTCTTTCCTGCATGTTTACATACTCCTCAGTACCAGGAGCAAGAGTAAGATAATAAAAAACACATGCATCTTACTGTGAATCTTTTACTTCTTGGTACATTACTCACCTGCACGGAGCTTAGCACTCTGCTGACCCGTTCGAGAAAAGGGCAAAGAGTTTCTGAAGATGCACTGACTTCTTGCTGAGTTTCCCGTTGGCTGCTTAGGCCACTTCTTAATATTTCACGCAGGACAGATCAGGAAAGTGATTTACTGCTGAAGGGAGTAAGCGTGTTTAAGTATTGCTTCTGCAACTGGTGTGAGAAATAAATTAAGATGATAAAACTAAGGACATATCTTGGTCCATCACAGTGCTTTTAAATAAACTTCAATCAAAAAAGGCCATATGAGTCTATGTTTATTCAAATCAGGAATCATTAAACTGTGGCCTGCCAGAGGTTTCTTATTCCATCTCTTTAATCTAGGGCAAGGTCACCTGTACACACATCTTTCTTCACAAACATTTGTTTGACCTACCATTGAAAACTGCTGGAGCTGTGCTCCTGAACCAGAGTGCCACAGAGTTTAATGGGAGCATGGGAAGAAAATGAAGCTGCCTCTCCCAGAAGTGCAACCCACGTCATGGAGACCTGTGTCTCCCTGGTAACAGAGGAGAAGTGGTGGATTTGAACTAACAGCTCCCTGCCAGGCTGAGGCCCTGGGGCAGCAGGGAGATGCACCTCAGCCAGTCTGTACAAGATTTTGGGGGAAAAAAAACAACAGCAAAACCACCTCAAAAAACAACCTAACAGTGCTACCAGTCTTGCTCCAGAAAAATTCCCAATTCCACTTTTCTTTGAGAATCTTGGTTTTGTTTTTACCCTGTAAGCACTAGTATTATTCTTCATATCTTTGGTTTAAGAAGTAAGACAACTCTGAAATTGAAAGCAGTGTTTTGACGCTCGTTTTTAGTGTAATTGCTGTTGTTGAGTTCATTTCTCATGACTAATTTCTATAACAGGGCTGAGTCTTGGATGCAGCTTGAATTTATGTCATTTGCTCTAAAAGTGATGCCTCCTATTTATTTCTAAGAAAACTCTAGTAGATGCAAAGAGCACAATCACACTATTTGATAGAGCAAATTCTCAGCTACAAAACATTATTTTTCGACATAGTCACCATTAGCTACCTTTTTTGCCAGTGATGAACGAGAGCTGCATGCCATGCTCATAAGAATCTGCACCAGTGGAGGTGACCCGCTATCACCCTGCTGAAACACACCTCCCATTGCCTCGTGCTGTCATCCAGTGCTTGGTTTCCATCAACATTCACCAAGCACTGATGAATCTCAGTGAGTGCAATTTTTTTCTGCGTGGAGGAATTTAATTCCACACCTTTGCTTCATACTTACTTCCGTGTCAGATGCTGTTTTGTCAGACTGCCCCTCTGCTGTCCTCTGACACACAGCAACAAGCTGTAATGGAATATCAGAGGGAGGGTTCAGCCTCTACTGCCGTACCACCAACATCTACTTCTGATATTGTGGGCCAAGATATTAAAGCGGGAGACATTACTTTTGGAGCAGCCCTCATATTTTCACCTTTATTTACAATCCTTCCTTCTTCTTCCACCTCTTTAATTAGGAGTATTTAGGACTGCTCCTTGTTTGCATGTTTCTCTCCACTTGTGTTTTTTGGAGCCCTGTTTGCTTGCCAAAGTAGATCTACTCGGTCACTTTATCTTTTTTATATTATTGACCTGTCTGCCAGAACAAGACTGTAGAGAACATAGTATGCACACTGTAAATAATCACTTACATTTTTTTCTCTGTATTTTCTTGGGAAGTTCTTGATACTGAAGGGCATTTACCTGTTGTTTGCAAGACGTATGTGATGTGTGTGATACCAATACAGAGCCTGATGCTAGAAAACAAGACAAAGCAGAGTGAAAAAGAGAATTTGGAGGAAAGAGTTTGAAAAAAGTTTTGGCTGTAGATAATAACAGCTGTAGCCTTTCAACCTGTCAGAGGTGCCAGGTCACTTTGTTTTTGCTTAATAGTTCATAGGATCATGTCTACAAAAGATTTTTTTTTTTTTTATATTTCCCCACGGTCTGGTGCAAAAATGCCCTATTGTGCATATGGGATTTAGTATAGTAGGAGAATGCCTAGCTTGGTCCAGTGTTTGTACAGCACTTTCACATTTTCTGTCAGCTTGCAGTTCTTTTTCTAAAACTGCAAACTTGCAGAATAAAAAAGACTGGGGATGAAACCTGTCAATCCTGACTGTCAGTTAAAATCTTGAATGTCTTTCTGTGCACAGGTGCAACCTTCCTCCTCTATCCAGAGAATACAGCAAGGATGTTGGATTGAAAACCCAGCTGGTGACTGCAAATCCCAGTATAATTCAGAAAAGGTAGGGAGCATGTTGCTCTGTCTCTGGATTGGAGAAACAGAAAAGAAAAAATGTGTCATTTGTGTTTTAGATATTAGTGTGCCAGAGTTATGTCCTGATCCTGGAAAAGATGAAATGCACAGTGGTTTCATGTTGGGTGAAATAAACCTAGATTTTTTCACTGTAAGCAGGGAAGCTAAGGAAGGCTGGCTTCTTGCAGTTTTTTCTTCGTTTTTTTTTTCACATCTGTACCTCCAGTTCCCTCTCATTACCTGTATCACTGGGTATGTGCCAGAAGAGCTTTGGCTGCTCTCAAGCCAGGCGCATACCAAGTGGGTGGACTACATCCTGCACTGGTGGGGCCAACTGGCTGCTGCATCCCACAGTTAATGAAGATGCTAATTCTGATTGCTCTTTGGTTCAACTCTGATAACTTCTCTGTCCTTACTCTCTTTGTATTATTTGTTTGATAGTGACTTACAAGTACAAGGATGATTAGGATAGACTGATCAGCAGGTTTTGATCAGACAAGCTGTGCTTCTTAGGAGATTGGGATAAAGTTTTGGTTTTTATTAGCTGAAATTTTCCAAATTGCAATAGCTGTTGAGAGAGGGGAAGAGACAAGGGAAAATAAGTCAGTGCCAGCTCTGATTGTGCCTTACTGAATTTTAATTGCCATGTTATTGTATTTTTTTTTTTTTTTGTCACCCAGAATAAGGTAGGCTGTTCTCAGACAGAATGAGATCTAGTAGTAACCTGTCATATTCACTGAAAAACAAAGAGAAAAGGCATTAAACCAAGGGAGTGAGCAGGAGATGATCAGGCATAAAAAGTATAATGCAGGTATGGGGAGGTGAAGGATTATGAAAGAAAGCAAAACAGTGAAATAAAATGAATAATAGAAAGCCAGGTATGTGAGAAAGAAGGAAGGCACTGAGCAGAACTGAAAATTGATGTTTGTTGCTATCTAAATGTAATATTTTTCTCTCTGCCAGGAATCAAAGAATTGACTAATTGTGAGTGAAAAAGATGGTTTATATGACAGTCTTCAACAGAGCAGGAAAGAGAAGGTGATCAAGAGGGAAATGGAGAAGTCATCAGCTTCAAGAGCTGTTTCAAGCAGAGTGTGTGAATAGGGGAAGGCACAGAAATGCTGTTAGGGTAAGATGAAAGCAAAACAAACAGAACTGGAAGAGAATGCACCAGGTACCAGACAAGAAGAGGGAACTGCTCAGGGCAGGGTCTGAGGATGAGGGATCTGAAAATCCTATGGGAGGTACAGAGCTAATGAAGTTGATTTAAGAAGTGAGATGAAATGTCCAGAACATCATATAGCTTGGCAGTACATCGTGGATAAAGTGAATAAGAGCAGTGAGAAGTACAATGCTTGCAAAGGTTTTTACAATTGTCAAGGCAGAGAATTGTTAAACTCATGAATATTTTCTGTGTCTCCTATATCCTTCATCAGTGGCTAGAGAGAAAAGCTTACTGAAGTTAGTATTTTTCAGAGAAGAAGAGAAAAAGGAAAAAGAGTTTTAGTGATGGTACAGGAAGACTATGGAACTATACTAAGGAGACTGTGGAGTTAACCAGTACAGAAAAAAAGGAAGGAGTGAGCACCTGTGAAATGATACCCTATGAGAGAGGGATATCAAAATGGGAGTGAGCTGACGAGGAGGGAAATGGAGGAAGAGAAAGGGGAGAAAGAATAGGATAACAGGAAATGGGATTGTTTTCAGTGTCCATTTTCAGCATGAGTGGATGATAACTGTGATGCAAGACATTTGATGAGAAAGTAATGTGGTGTTTATATGTATGTTTATTGATCAGATAAGGAGATTTACAACCAGTTACTAAGAATAAGATCGAGAACAAATTAATAGTGCTGAAAAATAGTAGAAACCTCCTCTGAGGTTTGAAGCTCTTGAGAGATCTGGCACTTATTTTCCTCTGCCTGGTCAGAAAGAGATTTTTTTTAAAAAATGTGTATATTTTACTAATGTTTCCTGTGTGCTCTCTAACCTCATTATTTGGACTCCTGTGTGGTCAGTTAAAATTTAATCAAAGGTACAAGTCAGGAAGTTAAAATACAAAGAAGACTACTGCCCTCCTAAAGCAATCAATTTCTGTAGAAATAAGCTTTTTAAGGAACTGAGATACTTATCAATGTAGACTTTCACAACATTCAAGGACTTTCTCAGAATAGTGACTGATATGTATCTGTTTCTAAGCTATAAGTTAACTAGCTTCACGTAATGGCATTATTCATTATCATTCCTCCACTGTCCTCTTGTCCTTACTTTAAGTGGGTTGATATTGATGAGGCTTGACGTCTCAATTATCTCTCAAGTGTGTTATGGCAGATTTAGTGAATTAGTCCCGCAATACTATTCATTGCTTCTAAAAGATATATCTTTACTAGATAATTTATGATCAAGCATATTAGGTAGGGCAAAGTTTTCATATCAGGGATAGGGAAGTAATTTTCTGTTTTGTTTTTTAAATCAAAATGATTTATTTCAGATAACTAAATTGTTGCTGATAATTAATGTTCAGTGATATTTCTTCTAGCTTGAGAGCCTTAGGATGGGAGAGTAAAAAATTTCACTCTGGGAGTACCTTGACTTCAGTGATACTTTCTAAATGTTACCATTTACAAATCCTTAAGTAAGCAGATAATAATGAAAGAATTAGAGATCAAGTTCCTGCTCTGTTTAAAGAAGCAATATCATTATGCATGCAGGTAGTACAGATTTTGTGTGTAAAATATGGTGCTCAGTTCTCGGCTGGATTTGAAAAAGTATGAGGAATTTCCTACCCTAATGTTGCTTCTTAACATAAAGGAGTACTGACAGCAAAGGTATTATGATAGAAATTTCCCTGGCTGACTAGGAGATTCATGATGACTGCCCCAATTTCATTTTTCATCTAAGATATGTCACAGGCATCTCCCTTCTATTAGTCCCTCTAGCCTATGTAAACCTTCCTGGCTGTTCTTAGGCTCTGTGGAAAAATCAGCAAGGTAATGTTGCTTACTGAGATTGTTTCTGTATCATTTCTATATCTAGTCATTTACGTACAGCTGTGGAGCACAGCCTGACTAGTCAGTGGATCACACTGGGACATGAAAACATTTATGTAGATACTAATGATTTATGATCAATGGCGGATTTTGACTAAGTGGTACAAGGAGTCACTATTTAGGATATAGATATTATGTGTTTCTTGAGTCACTGATTAAGAGCTGTTTCAGAGAAGCAAACTAGCAGTTGGATACTATCTTGCAACCTTCAACAACTTTGATAAATATCTGGTAATACACCTGAAAGTCTGAACTTTCAAATAATCTGCAAACAAATGTTTTTTGCGGCAATCTTCCTTTCTGTTTGCCATGATTTTTCACTCTGCCTAACCTGTGTAGACGTACATCATTGTTAATGTGGATGTAACAGCCCAAATAGATGGTTTCCTAGCATCCACTGTGTTTCAGATCTACTGATATCTGTTGGTAAGTGTTTCATCCAGGAGCTGTTTGTGTTTCTGACCTGTGTGGAAATAATCTCATTAGCAAGTGGCACAAAGAACATGGTAGCATTCTTTATTTCTCGTAATTCAGCATCATTATAACTAACAGAAGCCTCTGAGGTTTATAACGCACCTCCTGACACCTTACGCCTTTGAGACGTAATCCAACATCAGTTGAATTGTGTGAAGCTTCTCTCCCTTTTCATTTCAGTGTGCTTGAAGGCACACTTTTTGCACTTGGGAAAGAGCAGACAGCTGTGCAGCTGCTCTTTGAGCTGCTGCTGTTGTCAGCTTGAAGAGCAGATTGTGAAAGAAGGCTTGGAGTCACTGCCCTCACAGTCCCTGCTGCATGATGAGCAATTAGGTCTGCAGCATTCTCTGGAGAAATACCTCCCAGTCTCCTGCTCAGCCTGAGCCCTCCATGCTGGAAAGTGGCATAGGATAGGAAAATAACATGGAGAAATCCTGCTGGCCTAGCAGGAAAGGAGAGCCCTTAAGTCTTTGTAGTGAAGTCTCTCAGTAGTTATATAACACTGCTAATGGAAATAGTCTGACTGAAACTTGAAGAACAAGGTTTAGGGTCAGTCTTGGCAGTTTGGTATGAGTTTCTTTTCACTGAATGTGAATAATTTTTTTGCATTAAAATTAATTCACTTTTTTGATCTCAGTGATACTTCTCAATTTTTGGTAACATCCATTTCCTGCACTAAAGCAAGACGAAGGAATGAGACTAAAGGCTAACAAATACAATGACTCTCCCGTGAAGCTTTGAAATGTCAGTTAAATACCGCTGTTATTTATTAGGTTGCCACAAAATTTGAGTGGGATTAAATTGCTTTTCTAAGGCGCTCCCTGAACCTAAGAACCAGCTCATAATCTTTTCTAGATTCAGTCCCAAAGACAGCTTTGAGTCCTTATGTCTTAAGCCATTAGGAATAAAAAGACTGAACCAAGGCAATTATTTAATTCGCTAAAAGCTTATTTAATCTTCGATTAAACAGATACACAGTGTTAAGTCCTGTTGCTAATGCTCATGAAAATAATGCATCAGAATTCCTCTTGACTGTGTCTTTGTTAAAGACAATATATTTCAATCATAGGTAGTTACATCTTACATTAATAATTGAAAAAGATCATAAAAACAATTAGAGAAAAACCATACAAACAAAAGAGAAAAATAAGTTATTGAAGGAAAATGCCTTGCTCACATCTTGTTCATTTTTTTAGGAATAAAGGGGATGGAGGGATCTTTTCCTGTGAACTCATTTTACCATGGAATTTTAAATAATTTGAGCTGTTCTTTCGTTCCTGGTAGCTACTGTTGATACTGAGTGTATCTCAGGTTATTCCATTGAGATGCACTCCAAAATGATAAGAATCACTGTTCTCATTCACATCGCAAAACTGCCCTTTTACATTCTACAGTATTCTCTGAATGTTTCTGCCAACAGCAAGAGGATAACATCTCTGAGAAATTATTCTTATTGGCAAGATAC